GGGAGCAGGAGGAGGGAGAGTGAGAGGGGATGGAGAAGGGAAAGACGCCCGCGAGGAAAGAGAGGAGGTGGTGATGGAAGACCACGAAAAGGCGAGGACGAGCGGGGTGGAGGGCAAGCAAGATGAGTCGGAAAATGACAGGAGGAGGCAAGGAGGAGGAGGAGGAGGAAACAATGAGTAGGGGGGGACAGAGAGGAGAATGTGAAGGAGGAAGATGAGTATGACAACGACGGCAACGAAGGAGAGGAAGAGGAGGAAGAGGAGGAGCAGGAGCAGGACAGTGATAAAGAGAGGACAGAAGGATGGAGAGGACGATGAGGAGGGGGCGAGAAGAAGAGAGGAATAGAGAGAGAGACAGCGAGAGACACAGAAAGAGAGAGAGAGAGAGAGACAACAAAGATAAAGAGATACGGAGGCACAGCCCAAATATCTCTCTCGATCCCTCTCTCTTTTACTGAAACCCTCCCCTTGTCCACTAACCCGAATCCACACCCCTTCTCCTCCTCCTCCTCCTCTCCATCTCCGTTTTCCTCTATCCCATTGTCTCTCCTCATTCCCTCTCGCTCTCCCTCCTGATCCCCCCCCGTGCTATTCTTCACCCTGTGATCCCCTTCCCCTTCCCTCCATTATCAGCCCGCCCATACCCTCGCACAAAAAGTTATCGTTGACTGATTATTCCGCTCGGCGCGCATGTGCTATGGACGAATAAGGGAGCTCCGTGACAAATGGAGAAATGAAACGAATGTGAGATTCTCGATATGTCTGACTCTCCGTGCAGCTACCGATCTTCTGTTGTGACGCCCTTCTCTGCCTAGTCTGGTACCCCCCCCCCAGAAACTGGAACCTGTTCCTGGCCCCAGCAAAAGGCCGAACGTCCCAAATACGAACGGTGTCGTCCATGCCGTTGGTGGCCAAGAAGTTCCCGTCCTCCCGCAAAGCAGTCATCGCTCGCATGAGCGAAAGAGGGGAGAGGAGTGATAGAAAGTGAAGGGATGGGGAAAGGGAAGGAGAGTGGAGGAAGAGATTCACCAACCAGCCGGATCAGTGGGAACTGCGTTCTTCTTTCCCTCCCGCCCTGGAACCAATCGTGACGACGATCTTGAGATAGGGATGCGCTATCTGAAGGACCCTAGTGGGGATGTAAAGCTCCCCGATTGTATCTGAGTTGCAAAACAGATACCAGGAAGCAGGCCGTTCAGGATCGTGGCTGTGAGTGTGCTGACGGATAGGAGCGGCCGAGAAAAGCAGGCGGAGGACGAGAAAGAGAGAGAGAAAGACAGAGAGCGCGTGAGTGGACGCGGCTGCGGAGGTGTTTACGAACGGCGGATGGAATCAGTGTTCCAGCCGTTTGTCCCTTTCGTGTCTAACCCTCGGACGGTTGTTCGGAATCGACAGGGTGGAACTATCACAGGAGTACGCTCTGGGCAACGCTAGGGGGGACCAGCTCAGAGGGGGAAACATCAAGCTTGAATCGGCGACACAATCCCGATAGATCGGCGATGATCAGGCCACCGGCAGCGAAACCTCACGTTCCTGGGCGGGTTGGGCTATGAGATCAGGCCCCGATCGACGATGAGTGGGAGATTGGGGGTCGATGAGTCCCCCCCTGAGCCTATCCCCTCGCGGGCTTCGGGTCACAACTCGGGCCTCCAGCGGCCGTCCGGGACGACATGGGCCCCCCGGCACGCCCTCGACGAGGGGCTCGGCGCGGCGCAGCCGCTGGAACGCCTCCCGAGGCCAGGAAGCCGTCGGAACCGACGAACACGCCCGAAGACATCGAGCCTCGATGCTCGAACCCGTGAGCCCATCCGCCCCCTTGACGTTGTCCCTGAGAAACTCTTGGCGGCGCGCAGAAGGGGGTAGTGGGAGGGGGGAAGGCTTCTTAGAAGGGGACTGCTTCTTACAAGGCGCCGGCCCTACATGTATAGAGAAGGCCCGCCCCTTCTAAGAAGCAGCGATGCTTCTAAGAGGCCTTCCCCCCTCCCCCTACCCCCCTCTGCGCGTGGCCGAACCTCTCCGTGCCCCGAAGGTCGCCAGGAGGAACGGAGCGCCTCTGCTGCAGAGCGGCCCGCCCGGACAGCGGCCCCCGCCGCGCGGGGGGGCCGTGGTCGGCCCTCGCCGCTCCGCGCCGCGCCCGCGGGCCTCGCCGCCGAGGGGCCCCCGCCGCGGCGGGGGCCGCGGAGCGCGGGGCGCGGCCGGGGCCCCCCCCCGCGGCCCCAGCGGGGGCTGCCCTGCCTTGGACACATCCAGGCCGGTGATGCTGTCGGTGTGGCCTGGTGGGCGGTGGGGGAGGCGGACGGACGGGGAGTCGACGGCGGCGGTGGTGTCGTGAGGAACACGAGCCCAAGGTGTGCCAATACCCATCGGTCGGAGGAAGCGAGCAGAAAGAAACAGCAAGTAGGAAGGAGGAGTTGAGAGCAGATTGGGTCGCCGTCCACCCCCCGAATTTTTCAATTTTTTTTTGTTTCGGGTCCGAGGCACTGCCGCGCCGTTGCCGCGTCGGCGCCGACTCGGAGCCATCGTGCACGCTCCTGTACATGGATAGTTGCCGCTGGCTCTCTTTATTTGGATTCCTGGTTGTCAGGCCCAGCCAAAGAGCGACAAAAGCGTGCAGATATACAATGGAGGAATTCAGGAGAGTGAGCCGGATAATGATTCGTAAGCCGACGAGGGGATGAAGGCGTGGATCCCACCTACTCACATGAGCTTAGCTCAGGTGCGGACATTGCCATGGGTCAGCTTCCTTCTGTTTCGCAGTGCGTCGGCGTAATACTCCGCCGCGCATCTACCATTAGCTGTTCAGCAGCATGAATGTCCCCCTCGTCGAGGAGCCCAGAGCACGCCGCCGCGCCGCCGTCGCTGGCGCCTCGCCTTGCGGTCAGGCGCCGGCGCAGGGCGCGCGTCAGCAGCGCGGCGGCCCCCACCCAGCAGCAGCCGCCCAGCGCCGCAGCGGCCGCCGCGCGCCCCTCGGCGGCGCCAGCCACTCCGGCGCGCGGGCCGCGGGCGAAGGCCGACTGGAGGAGCCGCGTCGTCTCCACCAATGGTGGATCGCAGCCCTTCGCGTCCTTGCAGCAGCTCTTCTTTGCGACGGACCACGCCATCTGCCAGTTGTTCCTCTCGGCCTCGCAGTCAAAGCCGACCCACGCCGGCGCGCTCGCCGCGCCCTCGTCGCTGATCACCTTCTGGCAGCCCCTGCCCTCCGTGAGGCAGCACCACACCCTCTTTCCTGCCGACCAGGACCTCTGCTTCTGGCCCGCGTCGGCGGCGCAGTCGTAGTGCTCGGACCCTGCAGGCTCTGGGGGTGGCTTCGACGTGGTGACGGTGACGTTGCAGCCGCGCTTCTCGTGCCTGCAGCACCACGCCTTCTTCTGCTCCGACCAACGCTCTTGCCAGTTCGAATATACGTATCCAGACATGCAATCGAAATGCAAGTGCGTCGTCATCGCCCGCGTCGTGGTTGTGATAGAACTGGTCGTAGTGTTACTGCACCCTTTGTGACTGCGCTTGCAGCAGAAATCCTGCTGGTCTCTGGACCAGAGCTCCTTCCACTTGTCGACGTTGAGGCTGCAGTCATACTTCGCACTTGTACTCGTCGTGCTGGTGGAGGTCGTCGAGGTCGCCGTGGCCGCGTCTGGGCAGCCTCGCAGCTCGTTCTCGCAGCACCACTTCCTCCTCGCCCACGGCCACTTCTCCTGCGTGTCGCTGGGCCCAGAGCTGCAGTTGAACGGCAGCAGGATGGTCTGGCAGCCCCTGCCTCTGTGCTTGCAGCACCACGCCTTCTTGCCAAGAGACCAGCCCTTCTCCCAGTTGTCGTAGCCGGCGGCGCAGTCGAACGGCGCAGGGGCGGCGGTGGTCGAGGTGGTGGGCAAGCACGCGCGGTGCTCGTGCTCGCAGCAGTACTGCATCTTCGCCAGCGACCAGCCCATCTCCCAATTGTTGAAGCCAGCGTCGCAGTCGAACGGCTTTGAATGTTCAGGGTCGACGGTCGTGGTCGAGGTGGAGCTCGTCACTGTGCTGGACGTCGACGTGGTGGTGCTACTGGTCGATGTCGTCTGCGTGCTGGTAGAGGTGACCGTACTTGAGGTGGTGGTCGTGGAGGTGGAGCGTGTGGTGGTCGACGGCCGGGTGTCCGTCTCCGTGGCCGTGGTGGTGGCGCAGCCCCGGCCCTGGTTCACGCAGCACCAGTTCCGGCGCTCCACGGACCACCTGTCGAAGCTGGCCAAAGCGCAATCGAAAGGCACCGGGGTGGAGCGCTCCGTGCTCGCGCATCCCAGCCCCTGCTTCGCACAGCACCACACCTTCTTCGCCTCGGTCCAGTTGGCGTCGATCTTATCCAGCGCGAACATGCAATCGAACGGCACGCTGGAGGTTTCCATGGAGCAGCCCTTCTGCTCGTTCTCGCAACAATAGCTCTTCTTTTTGACGGACCACATCTCCTGCCAGTAGGAGTAGCCTACAGAGCAATTCAGGTCGTCTGCGCCGTCCACCCCTTCCGCGCCGCCAGCGCCGGCGCTGGAGGGGGCCTCCCCGCGCGCGCCCCTGCCGCGGGTGGCGGTGCTGGTGCTCGTGCTCGTCGTCGTCTGGGTCACGGTGGTGACCACGGCGTCACAGCCCACGCCTTCGTTTACACAGCACCACTTGACGTCGGAGTGGGGCCAGCTCAGCGGATCGCCCTGGCAGCGCTTTGCCGACGAGCCCGCCGCCGAGGAGGTCGTGGTCGTCGGGCACCCCCTCTGCTCGCGGGCGCAGCACCACTCCTTCTTGCCCTCGGACCAGCCCTTCCACCAGAAGCCGAAGCCGGCCTCGCAGTCGTAGGGCGGCGAGATTGTCTGGCCCTCGCCACCGGCGCCCCCAGCGGCCGCTGGGCCAGCAGCATCCTCAGGCGCTCGGGGCTGCGCCAACGCCCCCCGCCACCGCAGGGCGGCCGGCACCAGGGCCAGTGCCGCCCGCGCCGCTGGGTTTCCAGGCGCGCCGCCGCGGCCGCGCGCGCCGCTCGTCATGGGGCGGTCGGCGACGCGCTTGAGCCAAAATGGCTACGGACGCCGTCCACCCCCCGAATGAGAAAGGAAAAGGGAACACCACTCGATGATTGAAGTAGGAGGGCGGTTGGCATAGATCGGGATCTGGGAATCCAAATGCAACCACTTTCAACGGCTGGTGGGTATCCGGAATGAAAAAACTGCTTTAGTTCCTTGAATGCGCACGTCTGCGGTGCAAACTCGCACGTGTGGGGGCCCGACACCCCTTCGTCACACAGACCAGAAGTACCCCTGCGGCCAGGAGCGCGCCGACTCAACACTTCTGGGCTGCTGCAAGCAGGCGAGCGGAGGGAGCAAGGAGAACCTTCCATCGGCCGCTCCTTCCAGTCACCCTCCAGGGCGGGGCAGGCGCTTTCTCTGATCGGGAAAAGTCCAACAGTCCATTCGTGCCCCTTGTGCATATTCCTCCCTCTCCTCCCCCCCATCCCCTCCAGTTCCCTTCTACTCCTCATGTTCTCCAACCTCCTTCTGTTCAATTCCACTAGCCGTGTGGGCCCAGCTTGTCTAGCGATGGTGATTGTTCCCTCTTCTGAACCGCTTTCCCACGGGGGGGGGGCCTCCACCCCTCCCCTTCCTGAGGGGACCGCGATCGTCTAGGGCGCCCAAGATGGCTCCAACAGGGCTTCCGACGCCCCAAGATGGCCTCCAAAATGGTTCAGTATAGCCGACGATGGTTCACTGCAGCTTCCGACAAACCTCCAAAAAAAGGCCCAACGAATGCCACAAGACGGTTCCAAGCGCTCACGGAGCCCCTGAGGAATTACTCCGCCGGCAAAACCCTACACGAGAATATATCTGATGTGCCCTCGTTGTTGTTCCTCTTCGCCCTGGCGGAGGCCCTCCTCCCGCCCTCTGTTACGCCTCCACCTCGTCCTTTTCATTCCCCGCCTCCTCCTCTCCATCGCCCTCCCCCTTGTCCTCCTCGTCCTCCCCCATTTTCCTCCTCATCCTCCTTCTGTTCCTTCTGTTCCTTCTGCTCATCATCCTCCTCCCTCTTCATCATCCTCCTCCTCCTCCTCCTCCTCCTCCTCCTCCTCCTCCTCCTCCTCCCCCTCCTCCTCCTCGTCCTCATCCTCCTCCTCCTGTTTTTCCTCCTCCCCCTCCTCCTCCTCCCTCCTCCTCCTCCTCCTCCGCCTCCTCCTCCTCCCTCCTCCTCCTCTCCTCCTCCTCCTCCTCCTCCCGTCCTCCCCGCCTCCTCCTCCTCCTCCTCCTCCTCCTCCTCCTCCTCCTCCTCCTCCTCCTCCTCCTCCTCCTCCTCCTTCTCCCTCTGGCAACTTGGGCTCGAGCACCATTTTGGCAGCTCTGGCCCGACTCCCACCGCTTCCTCGGAGTGCTTGGGGGGCAAGCAGCCAGCTGCGCCAGAGCGCACAGTGCATAGCGCTCGGCCGATCGTGCAGCCGATCTGTTTGGCGAAAGGTGGGATGACGAAGGCTACGGGATGTTCTACGGAGTGGACATGGTCCAAATGTGCAGGATGTGGCAAGTGCAACTACAACCATGAGCTCGAATCCCGAGGGCGGAAATGCTACGGGTGCGGGCGACAGGTCAAGTTGTACAAGCCCAAGGCCAAGGATGAGGGCAACCAGCTGCAGCTGGTCCATTCCCAGTCCACCACCTCGGCTGGGCGCAAGGGCGGAGACGGGTCCCAGACGGGCGGTGCGAAGACGGACCTCGACCTTCTCGAGCTCACCCTCGGCACCGCGCAGGACCCCCTCCTGAGGAAGCTGCTCGAGGATGAGATCCGCAAGAAGAAGGAGTTGGTCAGGCCCAGCCAGACCCCCGAGGAGGCGGTCCGCCAAACGGCGGGGGCCTGGCGTGCCGCGGCAATGCGACACGACCAGGCGGTCGCAGCGGTCCTCAAGGCCAGGGACAACTTGCAGCAGGCCGAGGCCAAGGAGCGCACCGCGGCCATCGAATTGGCTAAGACGGACGAAGCTCGAGGCAGAGCGGCGAGAGTGCTCGCCCAGCAGATGGGGGTGATCACGGAGACGCCGACGCCGTCCGAGCACATGGGTTCGGGTGACCTCTTCCAGCTCACGATCGACGAGAAGTTCTTCTCGGAGTTAGGGGAGCTAGAGTGCGAGGAGCACGAGCGAGCGACCCTCAGGGAGCTCGAGGCACAACTACGGTCAACGCAGGGGCTAGTCAAGGGAAAGAATATGGAGGTCAAGCAGTGGCAGGAGAAGACGGAGGCCATGAAGCGCGAGATCACGCAGAGGCTCGCCAAGAAGCGCCGGGCAGCATCGGGCGACGGGATGACCACGCCGCCGCAGGCCGCTCCTCCAGCCGCTCGCGGTGCAGATGGTACCGCAGAGGCTGGCGCCCGCGACGGGGGAGGAGTGTCAGCGACGGCGGCCGCGGCAGCGCCAGTCGGTGATGAGGCAGCCGCGGCCGCCGCCAGGCACGCCGAGGCAGCCAAGAAGTTGTCGGACGCCAAGTTCGCGGCGGCCAAGGCGGCCAAGGAGGCCAAGGACGCCGCGGCCCTGCAGAAGGCGGCTGACACTCCTGCGGCGTGAGCGCCGCTGCCGAGGGGTGCCCCGAGGACCACGGCCAGTCCGAGTGGTACGACGACTGCAGGTTCGAGGGGCTCACCGTCGGCATCGGCCTCAAGCGCAGGTCGAATCGGGGATAGTCAGGGATTGGATAATGAGCTGTCTACACTCTTTTTCGCCAACGTCGCGTGTGCTGGCCCTAAGATGTGCGACTATATTATCTCAGATAAGCAACACGAACGGTTTCATTTTACAGGTATAGTTGAATCGCATGTAGACGCGGACGGTCTAGATCATTGGCGGAAGCAGGCCCGCAAGGTAGGACTTCGTCTGACAGCCAACCCAGCCCGACCGTCGGGGAAAGCAACTCTTGGGGACAACGCTCACCGCTCAAATGAAGGAGGCGAGTGGCTTTTAGCAGAAGGTCACCGTGCCGCACATACTCTAGCAGTCGACTCGTGGAGTGCACTACGAGCCGAAGGACATCAAGCGTTGGATGGGTTCCACGCATCGGTCATTGAGATGAAAGGGTATGCCTTTGTCGCTATTCTTTATGGGTACTCTGGAGAAGGCTGGTATGGTCGCAACCTTCAGAGGTACTCCAAGTTGGGTCACTACTATCGTCACTTTCTCTCCCGTGGACCGTCTTCGCCGATTGGAACATGTCATCGGCAGATCTCACGAGGCACGGTTTTGCTCACAAAGTGGGTGGACACGTCGTTCGTGCCGACAACACGTCCATCACTTGCACCTCCAGCGCCAAGTCCGAGGGCACTGAGAGGGATTTCGCCATCGCCTCCAGCAGTTTCTGCCCGTACATAGTCAGTGTCAGAGCGGTCGTCGACGTGCAGTGGAAAACGCATTGCGGGTTACTAATGCACTTCCGAGGCTCAGGCGCCCAGCTTCTGACGCGTGTTCTCTCCCTCCCTCCTAAGCTGCCGCAGTCCCCGCGGCCCACCTCCCTCCCTGTACCAGGCTCCAAATCGTCAGCCGCCAAAGCGGAGCGTGCTAGGCAGTCAGCTGTGTCTCGCGAGAGAATGCGTGACACTTGTGCCTCACTGTTTGGGGATGTCGTCTCCTCGCCGCCTGGCGGGGTGGGCTCGCTTGGTCTGGAGGCGACGTCCCCGCCTCACCCTGAACAGAGCTCTGCACTCCGTGATTTTAGTTTTCAAGGGTGGCCCGAAGAGGATGAGGACCCCTGGGCTGGCGAGAGTAGCTTCGTGGCTCGTGAAAGCGCGCCCGCAGTCGTCCCCGAATCGGCGACCGAGCACGCTGGAAGACAGCCCGTGCGTTTAGAACTTGCCAGCTTGGTGGCCCCACCTCGGCCTCCTGTTGTTCCCTTGGAGAGGTCCCAGACCCATCTGCAGGGCACCAACACAGGTAGGTTTCACGACCCCTCGGAGCCCAACACGGGGACCCATGCTGCTGCTGGTGCTGTCCCCTCCGCCTCGCCCCCCCCCTCCCCCCTTTTGCATTCCGTCCTCATCTTGGCTCGATCACAGGACGCAAGTTGGTGTTGTTTCGGCGGAGTGCGACTGGAGGGTTGTCAGAGATTCCCTCGAATATCATGTGGGGGCGCGACACGTCACCGCCGTGAGCGGGATGCATGCAGCCTGGGTCACCACACTCGAGGCCACGATATACGATCACCATGGTCAAGTACCCCCGACCGTCGCGAGATGCCGAGCCGAGGCACCGAGCTTTCAGGTCAGGGAAGTTCACATGGCGGAGAAGGCTCGCACATAGCCTTTTCATGACCAAATATGCTCTTGGTGGGAACGCACACACACACACACGGTCTTCTCACACATTCTGAAGCACAGTGAACGAGGCAACGGTCGGCGACAATGTGCAGCTCTTGCTGAGGCGTCGCTCAGGCTGATAGGCGACTACCCCACGGATGTGCACACACTGGTCAGTGACAAGTGGGACTGGCAGGTGTGGATCAACGTCACGAGGGATCCGCTCCACACGTCCATGGCCACCCTCTCGGAGACGCAGGCAGTCGCCGAACGTGCGTGCAAACGTGCGCGAGGTCGGGCTTTACATCGGTCACTCGACGAGTTCAGGTCATGGATGATGTCAGAGACGGCGCTGCCAGTTTTGCACCGTTCAGTCAAAGGAGCACCTCAGCCAGCTGAGGAGTTAGCACTACAAGGCAAGATTTTGTTTCATTCAATGGATATCATCGATTACAAAGCGGGCAACTGGCACAGACTATGGTGTAGCAGGCCGCTGGATCACGATAAGTTGTACCGCACTTTCGACAGCATACGTGAAGCTGCGGAGGTCGAGGCCCTGCCATTGTTATCAGGAGAGGAGATGCAGGCAGCTGCTCGCCAGATGCGTCCTCGTGCTGGCCAAGGGGCGGATCGGACTGCTCCCCTAGATGTGGAGCGCTTGCCTCCAGAAGGTCTCAATGAGCTCGCAGACGTGCTGAACGCGGTGGAGTCATGTCTGACATGGCCT